GAGACAACAAGGTGCAGGGCTGGATGAACACAGCAGGCCAAGCAGCATCATAGGAGCAGAGAGGCTGACGTTTCGGGCCTAGACCCTTCATCAGAAAAGGGGGAGGGGGAGGGGGTTTTGAAATAAATAGGGAGAGAGTGGGAGGCGGATAGAAGAGGGATAGAGGAGAGGATAGGTGGAGAGGAAACAAACAGGTCGAAGAGGCGGGGATGGGGCCAGGAAAGGTGAGTGTAGGTAGGGAGTTAGGAAGGGGATAGGTCAGTCCAGGGAGGACGGACAGGTCAAGGGGGCGGATGAGGTTGGTCGGTAGGAGATGGAGGTGCGGCTTGCTGTCAGGATTTCATTTGCCTTTATTATCGTGTGTTGTACCCACTTTCTGTAATTCATTCACAAAGACACCTAGGTTCCTCTGCGCTGATGCACTTTGAATCAGTTTCCCATTTAAATAATAATTTGCCCTTTTACTTTCTAGCCAAAATGGACAACCTCACACTTATCCACATTAAACTCCGTCTACCAGATTCTAGCCCATTCTCTCAGTCTATCAATATCCATAAACTGTTTATGTCCTCATCACTTCCTGCTTTCCCAGCCAGTTTAGTATCATCCACAAACTTTGCTCTATTGTACTGTTTCCCTGCTTAAAGACCATTTATATAGATTATAAATAGTTGAGGTCCAAGAACTGAACCCTGCCGCACCTCACTACTTACAGTTCACCATCCAGAGAAGGACCCACTTATCCCAACCCTCTACTTTCTATCAGTCAGCCAATCCTCTATCTAAACAAATACTCTACCCTTAACTCCATGGGATCTAACCTTCTGGATCAGCCTTTTATGTGACACATCGTAAAATGTCTTCTTGAAGTCTAGATGTACCACATCCACCAGATCCCCAATTTTTACCTTGCTGGTTACATCCTCAAAGAACTCCAAGTTTATCAAGCACGACTTGCTCTTCATGACACAGGTGAATTGTGCTTGTGTTTCCAAGTGTTCAGTTATCTCCTCTTTTATGATTGACTCACAAGAGTCCTTATGAGAATCCTTTCATTCACTATTTTTTGAGCTGATCTGAACCATAATGCTACTGCAAGCCATGTTCTGCGTATCAGTTTGTGTGAGGGAACTAACTTTATATTTTAGTTGGTTTATTTGAAATGCCTTTTTTTGCTTAAGACCTGCGCATCTGTAAATATTCATTTCTGGCTACAGATTATGTGTAGATTTCAGCAAATTCCTTTGATGACTGAGAATTTGTCAGAAATAGAATGCACCAACCTTTCTTTTGTGCATGAATCATTTCCACCCAAAGGAATACGTTCAATAGAACAAGAGCATTAGATTGACAGATTCAGGAGGAAGACACCAAAACAAATACTTTGGACAGTACCTAAAGTTTAAATAACTGAGTTGATTTTTAAGTTACTTGTTCTGTAGCAGCTTAAAAATCCTTAATTACCACCCTTCATTTCCTCCTACAATTAACACATTAATTGCTCTGACCCTGAGGTTCCACATTGTTCATATTTGATGTGGATCCAATGCGCACAGTTTACAATACAAGATCAATCCAGTATTAGGCTACCATTGCTGAAAACTACAGAATAAGCGTAGTTGTCAGTATGAAATTAGGGTGAGCTACTGTGGTCAAGGTGGAATTCACTGTAAGAAATCAAAGAACAAGAATAAATTTAATAGTAATGAAACACAATGCTGATCAATACTGGCCAGTAGAAAGAAACATTAAAAGAATGATAAATGTGAGAGCTGCAAATCATAAAATAGTGGTTAAAAAGTAAGAACTGTTCCACACTTAATGAAAATCAATCTTGCAGAGTCAGAGGTCTGTTTCTGTAATCATGTTTTTATTTGGAAGTTTTAATTGCTATCCTTAAGCCCTTGACTCTTTATTCTGGTTCCATTCTGGCTTTGGCCCACTGCACAAGTGGCCTTGTCATTGTGTTTCCAGGATGTATTCAGCCATAGAGACACCAAAACACACTCTGACTGGCAATATCTGACATATGTCATCAGTTGTCCCTCTTTTCAAGGATGATATCCAGTAAGAGTCATAGGTTTCTGCCATGGATTTCCATGTGACTCACTAGCTGATTCCCAGCTCATGGATGTTTGGCCACATAGAGCAAGATTCTCCACAAGTTAGTCAGATCCAGAATACAGACCTTGTGTGTATATGACTGCACACACACCCTTTCAGCAAAGTCTGCTTGATAGCAGTTAGGAGCAGGGAACGATCACTTAGATTTTATCTTCTTCCTAGATCACTTCATTCATATCACTGAAACCAATTTCAGCACCGACTGCCAATATCTCTACTGTGATCAGTTAATTCAATATTGACCAACAATTGTTCAGGATCTGTATGTCTTAACTACTCAAAGTAAAATGCCAGTGAAACATCAGGTAAATTCAAATGTATTTCCTTGCATGCATTTTTAATGCAATTAATTTTATTGTTTAACAATGCACACGCAAAGAGTGCTTCTCATGACACTCATCCAAGCTTCAGAGCATACTACAAGTCATCCTCACCACTGACCAGAGTCCAATTTTCTCCAAGAAACAATATGCCAGATGCTTTTCCTGTGGACAGTAAATAGTAATATTGTGATTTGTACATGGAATCAGATTTTGTTTGTCTTATTTCTCAGAAGTTTAATAAATAGCATGTGGTCCAACCCTTTTCTATCGTATTCATTGACGATATGCTTTCTGACGGGAAAGTTTTCAAATTTCTTCTAAATCTGGTGGCTTTTTTTCCTTAAAATCCCAAACTGAACATTGGACTTAAAGTTCTCATATGTAACATTTTTGTTTCAGCTTTATCGCAATGGCGCAGGCACTGAAGAAGATCACAAGAAAATTGATGAATTGCACCAGCGATGTCTTAATGCAGAACGTTCAAAAGATGACCTCCAGATTAGTTTACAAACAACACAAAACAAAATCAAGAAACTTGAAATGAGGTAGAAATATCTCTTCCTTCTGCATTTATGTTACAATTCAATTTTTCATGGCAGTTCACTGTTTCTGATAATCTTTACAACATAGGAGGAGGCCATTCAGACCATCAAGTCCATGCCAGTTCTCTGTAAAGCAAAGTGTTCAGTCTCATCCACCTGTTTGGTCGTTGCAGTCCTGAAAATTTATTTCTGTCTAATGCGGATATAATTCCTTTGCAATTTTTGATTAACTCAACTTCCGTCACTTTCGTTGGCAATAGTTCCAGGTCACTAACACTCGCAACATTAAATAGTTCCTCCTCACAGAGCTACTACATCTCTTGCCTGTACCTTCAAACCTGTGAACCCAGTCCTTACACAATCAATGAATGGGAACAGCTTTTCTCTGCCCACGTTATCTAAACCTTTCATTGTCTTTTGCAGCTCATTCAAATCTTCGCTCAATCGCCTTTGCTCCAACTAGAAGAGCTACGGCATCTCCAAAGTAACCCTATAACTTCAATTCCTTATCCTTGCAACCATACTGTTAAATCTTGTCCTCACACTCTGAAGGACCCTCATACCCCTCCTAAAGTTTGGTGACCTGAACTGGACAGAATACCCTAGTTGTGGCCTAACCAGATGCTTCTGCAATCCAAATATCCAGTGCTTGCATAATACATAAGTTATAGCATTCACTCATTGAAGTGACCTTGCACTGAGAAAATATCAGTAATTTGCCCAAGAGCTTTTCATTTTTTGTAAATGTACTCCTATATGTTCATTAAGTGATGCCATCTCAGCCAACTCTCACCTCTGTATTTACTCATCCGATTAGAATGTTATTCGACTGCAACATGACTGAGATTAATTCAGTAACCTGAGGAACTGGACCTATACCTGCCAATCCAAAGTATTATTGGTTGTATAACACATTGATGCTAGTTTCACATTATTATCAGTTAAATTGCTTTTCTAATGTTGACTTCAAATAATACCATTTGTTTGCTTTTAAAGCAGTTTTATCCTTGACTGCAACTTGGGCCTTGAATCATTCAAGTTTTATTGATTGCAATTTATGATGATAGTTCAGAAATAAATATTTGTTACTGAATTCAAAGATTGCTGTACATCTTTTCTATCAAAACATGTAAGCTTTATTGAAGTTTCAGATGAATTTTCACTGAAATTTGGGCTGTAACTTGCATGTTTTTAAATGAACTGACCCTTGATCATAATTGATGTTAATGTAAAGATGACCCTGCCAACAAAATTAGGTTATGTGGATTGGCCTTGCTAAATTGGCCATATTGTCCAGGGATATGCAGGCCAGTTGGATTAACCATGGGAAATACAGGGTTACAGGGTTAGGGTGGGGGGGTGGGTCTGGGTAGGATGGTCTTCGGAGGGTCGGTGTGGATCCATGGGCCAAATGGCCAAATAAAATCACGTTTGATCTGATTGTGGCCTTAATGGCACCACCTTATCTGTTTCACTAATTCCTTGCCAATCAGAAACCTGTCTAACTCAGCCTTCAATATGTTCAATGACCATGCATCCACTGCTGCCTGTGGAAAAGAATTTCTAAGACTAATGACCCTTTCAGAGAAGAAGTTTTTCCTCATTGCCATCTTCACTGGGAAACTCCTTTCATTTAAACTCTGCCCCTGGTTCTGGATATCCCCACATGAGGCATTATCCTCTCGACACCTGTTATGATCCCTTCAGAATTTTACACATTTCAATAAGATCACTTCATTCTCTTAAACTCCCATGCATATAGAGACTCAATTTGCTCAACCCTTTTTCATAAGATAACCCCTATTCACTGAGCTGCTTCCAATGCAAGAATATTCTACTTTAAATAAGGAGATCAAACAATGCTGAGAAAAAAGAATGGAGTTTTAAAAATAGGCACTTAAAATCATTTAAAATCATATTCCATGCCTGTAAATATCGCAGAGATTGTGACCAATAATCAGGTCTGTTAAGATTAACTTTCCAATCTGTTCATTTTGTAGTTATGAGGAGGAAATGTCCCGTTACCAAGAAATGGTTCGAAAACTGCAGAGTAATCTGGAGTCTGTTCGTGGAGACTGTGACACCGTCAGTGAGGAGCTTCTGAGATTACAGAATGAGAATGAGCAACTTCGTAAAGAGATGGAAGAACAGAAGAAAACTCGTCTGGATATACAAAGAAAAGCCAGACAGCAGGTAGGAGAGTTTAAAAGAAGGGAAAATGCACCTTTTGGGCACTATATATATCCTTCATTGAGTGTTAGAAAAAGCATTAAGTCATCAAATTGATCTTAAATCTTCATGTAAATTGTTGGGAATATTTTCCATGGTACAATAATCTCTCTCACTGTCTATTCTAACTTTTCAACTCTCTTTAACTTACTCTATTTCTCTCTTTCTGTTGAATTCTCTCTGTATCCTATCCCACTCACCTTTCTCACTTTCTATCCTATATTTCTTTATCCTTGTTTTTCTCTCTTTATGCTGTCTCTAGCTACCTTTTTCATGTGCTGTCTATCCCAGCTTTATTTCACTATAACCTGTCTCTCTGTTAGTCCACCTTGCTATTCTATATCTATCCTATCTCTCTCGACCTTTTGTATATCTATCCCGGTTTGTCTGTCTGTCTCTCTCAATCTCTCTGTCCCTGTCATGGGGCTTGAAAGATCGAAACGTTTAATTGATTAGTACTTTTGATTGCTTCCATATTTTAGTGGGAAAAGTAGAAGCAATATGATTGAGATTTGTCAGTTTGTGTTTCAGAACTTTTCCTACATTTGAGGAATCAGCTTGGGCAACTTATTTATTGCACTGTACCCATCTCCTGTTACCCCAATATGTGCATGCCTTTGAATTGTATGTGTGGCTTCAAGCAGATGTATTCCCTCTACCTAGTGCCTCATGTACACAAGTTTCTGCATCACTGGGCAGAGATAAAAAATGGTTTGTAAAAAAGGAAATATGAGGAACCAGGAAATGACCGAGGAGTTAAATAAACACTTTGCATCAGTCTTCATGGTGGATGACGTTAATAATATTGCAAAAATACTAAATAATCAACACTCCGATGTTTGGTGGGGTATGTGGAGAGGTGGAATTAAACACACTAGCCGTCACTAGAGAAAAAGTGCTAAGAAACTAATGAGACTAAAAACCACAAGTTCCCTGAACCCGATGGTTTGTATTTAAGGATTTTAGAGGAAGTTGCTAGAGAGGTGGTAGATGCACTGGTGGTATTCTTCCACAACTCCTTACATTTGGGAAATGTCTCAGAGGATTGGAAAATTGCCAGTGTAACACTCTTGTTTATAAAAGTGTTAACTATAGACTAGTTAGCTCGACATTATAATTAGTAAAATGCCAACAGTTTATTATAAAGGATGCAATAGCTGGGCATTTAGATACACATAATAAGATCAAGCAGAGACAGTGTGATTTCACAAAGGGGAAATAATACCTGATAAATTTATTAAAGTTCTTTGAGGAGGTAACAAGCAGGATAGAGAAAGAAGAACCAGTGGATGTAATTACTTGGATTTCCAAAAGGTATTCAATATGGTACTGGATAGAAGGTTGATAAATAAGAAAATAAACTCATGGTATTGGGGTTGGTATGTTAACATTGAAAAAGGATTGGCTAACTAACAAAAGACAGAGAATTGGGATAAAAGGGGCATTTTCAGAATGGCAACTGTAACTGGTAGAATGCCAAAGCGATAGGTACTGGGGCTAGTTGCTTTAAAATATATTTAGAGAATTTGGATGATGGAAATAAATGTACCATTGCCAGGTTTGCAGATAAACAATAATAAGTGGGAGGCAAATAGTGAGGATGACATGAAGTCTACAAAGGGGTGCAGACAGGTTAAATGAGTGGACAAAACTTGGCAGGGGGGAATATCATGTGCAAAAATGTGAGTCATGTGCTTTGGCAGAAAGAATATAAGTGCTGAATATTATTTAAAAGGAGAAAGACTACAAAAAGCTACACCAGAGAGGGGTTTGCAGGTTAAAATTCATGAATCTCGAAAAGCTAGCATCCAAACTCAGTCTGTAAATAGGGAAGACAAGTGGAATGTTTGCCTTTATTTCAAAGGGAATGGAGTATAAAAATAAGGAGGTCTTGCTAAAACTACACAAGGCACTGGACAAGCACACCTGGAATATTGTGAACAGTTTTGATCCCCTTATCTATGGAAAGATATACTGACATTGGAGGTAGTCCAGAGAAGGTTCATGAGGTTGATCCTACAAGTGAAGTTTTCTTATGAGAGATTGAGTAGGTTGGGCCTGTGTTCATTGGCGTTTGAAATATAAGATTATTAGGGAGCTTGACAGGACAGATGTAGAAAGGTTGTTTCCCCATGTGGAAAAGTGTAGGAACAAAGATCATAATCTCAGAATAAAGGATCATCCATTTAATACAGGGGTCCTTGGAAGTTGGTGACTAGTGGAGTTCCACAAGGATCAGTGTTGGGACCACAACTGTTCATGTTAAAATACACAAACGATCTGGACAAAGGAACTGGAGGCATGGTTGTTAAGTTTACAGATGACACAAAGATAGGTAGAGGGACAGGTGTTGAGGAAGTGTGGAGGCTGCAGAAGGACCTGGACAGGTAGGAGACTGGGCAAAGAAGTGGCAGATGAAATACAATGTGGGAAAGTGTGTGGTTATGCACTTTGGTAGGAAGAATAGAGGCATAGATTGTTTTCTAAATGGGGAAAGGCTTCAGAAATCTGGAGCACAGAGGGACTTAGGAGCCCTAGTTTGGGATTCTTTTAAGGTTAACTTGCAGGTTCAGTTGGCAGTTAGGAAGGCAAATGCAATGTTAGCATTCATTTCAAGAGGGCTAGAATACAAGAGCAGGTATGTACTGCTAAAGCTGTATAAGGTTCTGGAATATTGTGAGCAGTTTTGGGCCCCATATCTAAGGAAGGATGTGCTGGCCTTGGAGAGGTCCAGAGGAAGTTCACAAGAATGATCCTAGGAATAAGGGGCTTGTCATATGAGGAGTAGTTGAAGGCTCTGGGTCTGTACATGATGGAGTTTAGAAGGATGGGGTTGGGGTATGTCATTGAAACTTACAGAATACTGAAAGGAATTGAGATGAGGAGGATTTTCTTCGGTCAGAGGGTGGTGAATCTGTGAAACTCATTGCAGCAGAAAGCTGTGGAAGCCAAGTTATTATCTTTAAGGCAGAGATAGGTAGATAGATTGGCTGAATGGCTTAGTTCAGCTCCTAAATCTAATGGTCTTGTGGACTACAGAGATGAGGACGATTTCTTTTTATCTCAGAGGGCAGTCAATCTGTGGAATTCTTTACTGCAGAAGGCTGTTGATTCTGTTAAGTATCATATATATTCAAAGCTGAGAAATGCAGATTTTTAATCATTAAGAATTAAGGGTTATGGAGAAAAGGCAAGATAGTAGAGTTGAGGATTATCAGATCAGCCATGATCTCATTGAAGGTTGGAAGAGACTTGATGGGCTGAATGGCCAACTTCTGGAATTTAGAATTAGATTTTATTGTCACGTACTCAAGGTACAAAACCTTAGGTACAAAGCAGAAAAATAAAGAAATAAAGTTAAAAGTTCAACAGTCTTTCTTAAATGCTTAGCCATGCTGGGCTCGCACTCTCTACAAGGGCTCAATCTCCTCCGCTTTGGCCCACTCTTTGGGAGACCCCAGGCTGCCTGCTCTCTACATCTTGTGGTTTTATGGGTTGTGACCTACACTTTGAGTCGTCCTCCACGTGTATTACTCGGCCAACCCTAGTATGGCTGAGAATCTCGCACTTGATCTGACAAAGGACTGTAAATTGAGTTTAAACCGCAGGAGAAAAAAAGAGGATCATTGAGTGAAATAGGATGTTCGAAGCTGCAGGGCAGTCTGTTCAGTTTGGAGAATCTTAAGGAGCGGGTTGTAACCTCTTGAGGCATTCAGAAGAATAAATCTATATTTTTTTGATAGAGTTGGATCACAACAATGATGTACTGTAGGCTGATGTACCTTGCAGCAGCCAACACATCTGACTTTTACTGGCTGCTACAACCTGCCAGCCCCTATTTGGATGCAACCCAAGTTCAAAGGTGCTTGTCCTGCCTAAAGGTTTACACAGAAGCACTGTCAGATTAATTCACACTTGTATAAAACGGATCGCCTAACTTAAACAGTGGTAAGGAGCAGGAATTGGAGTTGTTGGCAATACAAAAATTAATATCATGCACAGCTTGGGCATCTGCATGCAAGCAAAACTAGAGTAAAACATATTCATAGTTCCCAAGTTTCACTTTATTTAGGTAGCAACCCTGGAACATGAGTTGTCCCTAAAAGAACATGGGTTTGAAATCCAGCTAAGAGAACTAGAGGATGCCAATCGGAATTCAACCAGTGAGCTGAAACGTTTATTAACAGCACAGCAAAAAGCAACCAATCGGTGGAGAGATGAAGCCAGAAAACTAACTGAAACCTTCGAGGCTAAACAGAACAAACTGAAGTAAGTGAACATAGCTGTAAGAGGCAGGGATGCTCAACCAGAGGTTTTGCAGCCCCCAGAGGACCTTGAGAAGGGTTTAAGGGGTCATCCAAAAATAGCCAAAATATATGCAAAGCCTCCTTCCTCTGCAATCTACCTACGCCTCTCTGTCATTTTCTAATTAATATTTAAACACTGCTTGACCATTTGATTCAACCAATATGCAGTAAATGAGCTTTTCCACACACAATGGCACAAGACGATTTGCAGACCATCATTATACCCATCATCTTGGCTTTGATTTGGTGCCTTTTCCCTTAACCTGCAAGTCGTTCCCTTGGCCAGCACCAGCAACAAGTTTCACAGAAATTCAAACTATGATAACACATATTTGCATGTAATTATACAGCTAATTTCTATCCTGAAAAAAAATTATCTTGTAACCATAAATTTCTATCTTTTCTGCAACTTGTAGAAATAAGTTTTCATAATTTTGAAAACCTTAAGTAGACATAGAGTCATAGAGTTGCACAGCACGGAAACAGATGCTTCAGTACATATTGTCCATGCCGATCAGATATCCTAAATTAATCCAGTCCCAATTGCCAGCATTTGGCACATATCCCTCTAAACCCTTCCTAGTCATATGCCCATCAGACGTCTTTTAAATGTTGTAATTGGACCAACCTCCACCACTTCCTCTGGCAGTTCATTCCATACACACACTCTTCACATGACACGTTTTCCCAATTAATGTTCTTCATTCCATTGAAGAATGCCCGAACTATTCAAGCCATCTGTAAATAAACTGATTGTACTCTTTCCGTAACTCCTAATATTTTTATAATGCGGTACCCAGAACTATACAATATTCTCCCCTACAACATAACCAATTGCTTATACAAATTTAATACTTATTTCCTTACTTTTGTACTTAATGTTCTCCATATGAAACTTAGAATCACATTTTTGTGCCCTGGCATCTGCACTTTCACTTTGTTGTGGGATTCTTAGATCTTTCTGATCCTGCACAGTTATAATATTCTAACTTCATGGGAAAATAAAGAACAGGCAAGGCTACTAAAAGTAACCAGAAGCTGAACTTTATTTTTTTGCTGAAAATAAAAATATACTCCTGGCTATATTTATTTTATGCTTCTCTGCAAGATTTCAGAGGTTCTGTAATGGTTATAATTGACTTTTTCCAAGTAATGTGTGTAATGTTGATTATAACCCCAAATAATAGTTTAAATATGCCAAGAATGACCACATTTCTGAAATAATTTCCTAACAAAGTACTTTTTCCATCTTTCTTTCTTCTTTGCTTACAGGACTGAACTAACCCGACAGAAACAGCGTTGCCAGGAGTTAGTTTGCCAGATGGAGCTTACACATGAGAAAATAACAGAGGTAAGATAATTGCCCTCAATGATCTCGATCATCACTCTAACTTGTAGTCTATTTGTTTTATATTATCATTGGTGCACATTTATTGCTGAAGTTTGAAAATGAACTTGCACTTCACCACCTTCCAGTTACTAAATCCACACTTGTCTTGGAGAATTATCTTTCATATGTTTGACAAATTCAAATATATGTTGCCCGCTTGAATGTGAAGGTACAGCTAAAAAATTTGATTCTGAAAAATAGTCATTATAAGAAACTGTATAAAGTATTATAGAGTTTGCTATATAGATTTCCTAACCATTGACTGTACCCTTATTCATTCCTTTGTTTGTTTTATAGCATTGAAAACATCAGTGTGAAAATAATTCTGAGTTTGTACCATTTGACTGTTTGTTTATAGTTGAGACATGTAAGAAAAACATGTAATTGACAGGTTTAAACCTGAGTTGCAAATTTCATTTCATGCATCCATATGGCATGGATGACTGTTATATAAGATTGGTATTCAAATCATACTTATATTAGACGTGAATCTGGTGGTGTAAAACATAGGAACGGGGGGTGGGCTATTCAGTCTGCTCTGCCGTTCAAGGTCATGGCTGATTGAGTTCTCTATGCCAGTTTCCTGCACTATCTCCATGTTCGTAATGTAATTGGTTTCCAAAAACCTATTGATTTCTGTCTTGAATCTGCTCACTGATAAAGCTACCACAGCCATCTGGAAGGGCTTTGACAGATTCACCAACACTCCTCATCTCAGTCTTAACTGGCCTGAGATTATGTTCCCCAGTTCTCAAATCATCTGGGAGAAACATCCTACCCATATCCGCCTTGTCACACCCTGCAAGAATTTTATAATTTTCACTGAAATCACTCTTGTTCATCAAAACTCTAGAGAATACCGACCCAGTTTCTTCAATGCTTCCTCTTAATGCAATGCTTTTATGCCAGAGATCAATCCGGTGAAGCTCTGTATACTTCCTTAGATAGCAACATCAAAACAGCACAAAGTACTCCAGGTACAATCTCAGCTCGTAGCAAGATATCTTTATTTCTATGCTCATTTCCCCTCAAAATGAATGCCAACATGCTGTTTGTCTTTTTAATTGCTTTCTCAACCTGCATGCTAGAGTTTTGAGATGCATAAGTTGGGACACCCAGATCTCGTTGGACACTTGCACTTCTAATCTGTCACCTATTTAAGAAATATTCAACCTTTCTGTTTTTCCTACCAATGTGATCAACTCCATGCTTATTTATAACATATTCCACCTGCCGTGTTCTAGCCTATTCACCGAGCCTGTCATATTCTCTTCAAGTCTCCTTGCCTTCTCCTCACAACTTGGCTGTGGTAGCTTTATCAGTGAGCAGATTCAAGACAGAAATCAATAGGTTTTTGGCATCATTAGCAAACTTGGAAATATTACAGTTGATCTTCTCAGCTAAATTGAAATACATTTTGATCAGTTGTGGACCGAGGACCAATACCTGCTGTACCCCACTAATAACAGCCTGCCATTGTGAGAATTATCTATTTATTCCTACTCTCTGCTTTCTGTTCATTAACAATGCATTGTAAGAGATTGCTCCAATCTCATGCACTCTAATTTTATTTATTAATTTCCTATGTGGGACCTTATCAAAAGCTTCTGAGAATCCAAATATACCATTGGTTATCCTTTTACCTAGCTACAAGTAATAGTTTCATCAGAAAATCCAACTAGTTCATCAAACATGCTTTTCCTTCATAAATCCATACTGACTCTGCCCAATCTTGCCTTTCTTTTTTTAAATGTTCAGTTTATACATTGTTTATAATAGGTTCTAATATTTTCCGTACAATGACCATTAAGCTAACAGTTCCGTAGATGTTGATTCTCCGTCATCCTCCTTTCTTAAATAGTGGGGTTATGTTTGCTACCTTATAGTCAGCAAGAACGTTTCCAAAATCTGTTAGAATTACGAAGGATATCCATCAATGCATTCATCATCTCTATTTCTACTTCCTTAAACACTTTGGGACGAAATTCATTTTGTCCAAAAGATTTATCAACCCTCAATCCAGCTAATTTTTCAAGTACTCCTCCTTTGCTAACTTATTCTTTTTAGCTCTTCAGTTACCCAAGTCCCTTTGTTGTTGAGTATTTCTAGAAGATTTCCTGTATCTTCTTCCATAAAGACAGACATTTAGTTTCTCTGCTAAATTCCTGTTGTTTACTATAAATTCTTCTGTTTTCATCTGTATTTGGTCAAATTTATCCTTGGTAATCTTTTTCTGATCACATATTGATAAAGCTTTTACGCTTTGACTATATGTGCCTCACTGGGTTGCATTCATTTTCTCATTTCCCTTTCCTTAACAGTTTCAAGGCCCTCCTTTACTAGGTCTTTAATTGCTCCCAGTCTTCAGGTTTACCACTATTTTTGATCTGACGAAATCTTTAACTTCTTTTCTTAAACGAGGTTAATTCACCTTTCCTTTGGATGTTTATGGCTTAGAGAAATGTATTTCCATTGTTGACCTTGTCTATCTAAAAGCAAAGCTTTGTATATTTTCCTAATCAGCTTAACCAACTAGCCCCGCACACCCACCTAGTTTCCTTTGCTCAAGTTTAAGACACTGGATTGTGTTGCATTTAAACTTCATATACAGTTTTATCAAATGATGGTCACTACTGTATATGGTCAAGTAAAAGTCGATCTCATGTAAAAGCCGACCCCCTATGTTTGGCCAAAAGATCTGGAATTTTCCGTATATCTCATGTAAAAGTCGATCCGAGTTCTCCACAGATAACAGATCAACATTTGTGAGTCATGGTATTATCCTGTACATAAACATTATGATGAGGAAATTAATTTTTTTCAGTTATTATGTTTGTTAATGTAGAATTCACACCTACATTAGGTTACGGATTTCTTAAGTTCACTATTGAACGAACATTATAATTAGTATAATTAGCATTCACTTTTTATGTTTGGCCTTCCCACTCCGGGTCTCCATCCCGCTGGGCATCCCACCCCGCTCCGGGTCTCCATCCCGCTGGTTGTCCCACTCCAGGTCTCCATCCTGCTAGCTGTTCCACTCTGGGTCTCCATCCCACTGGCCAACCCGCTCCGCTCCGGGTCTCCGTCCCGCTCCGCTCCGGGACTCCGACCCGCTCCGTTCCGGGTCTCCGTCCCGCTGGTCGTCCCACTCCAGGTCTCCATCCCATTGGCCATCCCACTCTGCTCCAGGTCTCCATCCTGCTAGCCGTTCCGCTCCGGGTCTCCATCCCACTGGCCGTCCCGCTCCGTTCCAGATCTCCATCCCGCTGGTCGTCCCACTCCAGGTCTCCATCCCGCTGGCC